CAATAAAAGTCACTTAAAGTTGACATCAAAGTCAACAACTCTTGACACAGAAGTTATCCAAATTTGACATAAAAGTCAATAACTTTTGACACAGAAGTCATCCAAAGTTGACGCAAAAGTCAACAACCCTTGACACAAAAGTCATCAACTTTTGACACAGAAGTCACCCAAAGTTGACACAAAAGTGAATAAATCTTGATATAGAAGTCACCCAAAGTTGGCACAAAAATCAACAAATCTTGATACAAAAGTCACCCATAATCGACACATAAGTCACCAACTCTTGACACAGAAATCACCCAAAGTTGGCATAGAAGTCACCAATTCTTGGAAATAGAAGTCATATTTGATACAAAAGTTGCTCAAAGTTGGCACTGAGGCCACCTAAAGTTGACACAAAATCCACCCAAAATTGGCATATAAATTACCATTTCATGCAAAAGTAGCAACTCAACCTCACCTCACCTCACCACATTAAAGCTGGTATGTTGGACTGTTGGTCTTATTGCAAGGGCTAATCATAGGGCTCAAAGAACTGTCATTTCTTTAATTCTACAGTCAACCCTATTAAAGAGGGGATATCAACAGCTACAGGGATATGAAGTCTGGTGCTTTAAGATGTTGCATGCGTTGACTGTCGCTTCTTCAATTCTACAGTTCATCCCACCAAAGAAGGGATATCAACTGGCTGTAGAGATATAAAGTTTTCTGATACTTTGAAACTCCTATAAGGATTGATCATGGCTTGAAAACTACTGAATTTTTTGATTCTTCAATGCACTACTTCACGAGGTCCACTTACTGCAAGAAAAGAATCTGGTGATGTAGGCTACTTTCAAACTACCGCAAGAGTTGATCATATGCTCGAAAATTATTGGGTATTTGATTCTTCAATCCTCTACATCACAAGGTCCACTTACTGCTAGAAAAGAATCTGAAGGTGTTGACTACTTGCTATCTGTCGCAAGGATTGATCATGGACTCGAAAACTGCTAGGTACTTTGATTCTTCAATTCACCACGTCACGAAATCAACTTACTACAAAAAAAAAAAAAAGGAAAACTAGTGATATAAAATACTTTCAAACTGCTACAAAGATTGATAATGAGCTACTTTCAAGCTACTATATGGACAGTAATAAGCTCAAGGACCATTTGGTTCTTCGATGCTTCATTCCATATCGTCATGAGGAGATTTTCACTAACTATAAAAATATGACCTTCAATTCTTGAGGTTGATTTCAAAACTGCTACAAGATCTAGGGTCTTTAGAATCTACAATCCACCATTCTTGAGGTACGTTTAGTCTTTGGAATTTACAATCCACTTCTTGAGGTACTCTTGGTTTTTGAAATCTACAATCCATCCTTGGATGAGGGTCTTTGAAATCTGCAATCCACCCTTGGATGAAGGTTTTTGAAATCTTGAATACACACTTCTTGAGGTACGCTTGATTATTATTTGTTTTGAAATCTTCAAAGTATTCTTTGATCTAACTTTTAGAAAGAAAACCGTCTAAAAGAAATGCAAGAAATTAAACAAAAGAAAAAAAAACCAATCTTGATAGTACTATCATTCTTGTTCTCTTAATTTATGAGAAAATTTAAAAATTTTAAAAAATAATAATTAAATAAACACCAAAAAGATTTAAATGAAAAACATACCTGAGATCAAATTCTTGTCTTGATCAAGAACAATTAACATTCTCGAAGTAAAGCTCTCTAGATCAAAATCTCAATACAAAAAAATTGTATCAAGAAAATCGTGTCTTGATCAAGAACAATTGAAAAATAAGTGGGGACCAAAATAAGATTAACGAAAAAAAGACAGATTGAACAAAATAAAACTTGTTCACAAGTTCACGATAGACAATTAAAAATTTTTAAAATATACAAGTCAACCCTTTTCACTAGATTGAATATAGTTGGCCTAGGTGAAAAAAAATATTTGATTAAGTTGCCATACAAAGAGAAACGGTTTGCAAAATAATAAAAAAAAAGTTATTTAAGATAGTGGACATGAAATTTTTTGGTCAATTGTTATGGAACAATTAGATTTGACAATTGTGAAGGTTAAAATTCACAAAGAAACACATGTTTAGAACTATTATAAAAAATAAATAAATAAATAATTTAAAAAGGGTTATAACGATATCAACAAGAGAAAACATATTGGACAACTCCATGCAAGGGAAAAATAATGTACCGTCCATTCATTAGCTTGAATTGAATGAAGAACATTGGTGTAGACTGTCAACCATATAAAGAAACAAAAAAAAAACTAAATGATACTAAAACAAGAATAAAAATACCACCAATAAAAACAAAAGAATGAAGAAATCACAAGAGAAAAAAACAAAACCAAGTATGAAGAATCAGGTCACGCATGACAGCCATGAAAATAAAAAAAAATTGTGACCAAGAACTAGACAAAGAATTAAACAAGAGAAGTTTAAAAAAAAAAGGGAAAGAACTAAAGTAGACAAAAAAGAATTTAATAATGAACTAAAACAAAAGAAAGGATTGACAACACAAGTCACAAATCCAGGAAGCAAATTCATGAAAAAAAAAAAGACATACTATAAACAAAATCTCATATTAATGAATAAAATAATAAAAATAAAATAAATAAAGGATGACTAAAACTCATCATCGTACTAATTGGTTGAAAAAAAAAATTGTGAAGAAACAAAAAACTTTAAAATAAATATAGACTAGATACAATGAATAAATAAAAAACAGATTGAATGACCCATGACAGTAATGAAAGCTTGGTGACTAAGAATCAACCCTCTTGGTCAACATATGAAAACAAAGCAAGAAAAAAAAATTTATAACTTGTATGTGTAATAAATATACTTACAAGGTTGATTGAATTCGGAAAAAATAATAATAATACAAAAAAAGATGAAAAATACAATCGAAGAATTCTAGAAAAAAAGGGTTGTAAAGCATAAATCTACAAATTGTTAAAAAAAAAAAAAAAGAAAAGAAAGACAACATACCTTTGGTTATAAGTAAAGAATAATACTTCTTCAAGAAAAATGACTGAAACAAAAATTTTGACTAATGAAGAAACCAAATGGCGTATGACAGTGTAATGCAGTGACAATCAAATAAAACGAAAAAAAGACTAAACAAGAGAGTTAAAAAAAAATATAAAGCAAAGAAAGATAAAAGTAAAAAACAAACCTGGAAGTCCAAAAGGTTGTCAAAGCAAGGCTGCGGAACCACTGGAGATAAAAAAAAATTAATTAATTAATTAATTAGAGTCATATATACATGATACAAAAACAAAAGTCTGTGTTTGTTTGAGTATGGTGATTTCAATATATAGACATTCTAGGTCCTTGGGTTCAAGTTAGAAAAGGATTTTGTACTTTAATCATAGACAAATTGAGAGTCTATAATTTAGGTCTATTTGTTTAAGAAAAAGACTTGTTATCAAGACTTTAATGTAAATTAAAATTTTAAAGTGATAGAAGACTATAAAATAATAACAAAATTAAATAATGGCTTAGTATGAGTTCAACATATGCTATAATTCAATGTTGATCATGAAACAATATTTTTTTTTTAAACATAAATAAATTTAAATTAAATCAAACTCCTTTTAAATCGAAATATAAATCGAGACTCATTTACATATTAATAAATATAAAATATGTAAATAAGTCTCGAGGGGCATTTGTAGATATTAAAATTTTTAAAAATTAATGTTTATAATTGAACTCAAATCAATTAGATAAATAAAATTGGATTGGACCTAAATTCCATAGCCTAAATAATACAAGCCCAAATTTAATTAATAAGGCTTGTCAAATTAAATTAAACTGGACCTAAATTCTATAACCTAAATAATACAAACTCAAATGCAATTAATCACGCTTGTTAAATTCCAATAGACTTAAATTCCGTAGACCCAAATTAAATAAACTTTCAAAAGGTAAAATGTGATAGACTTTCATAAATTAATTAAAGTTTACAAATTTATGGGTAGCTCACTACCTAAAGCCCATATAAAAGTAATAAGAACACTTTATATGGATAATTACTCCTAACACTATAAATAGAGGTCTATGAGAGAAAAAAAGGAGGGCTAAGAAGAGAAGTTAAGGAGGATGGAAGATCAAGAAGTTCTGCCCGAGTCCATCTCAGGAGGAGAAGGAAAGATCAGCAACGGAGTCTACCCCTAACCGAAGTCTTGCAAATCTATCTCAAGAAGAGAAGAGCAAACTATCAAGGTCTTTCTTCAAGAGATTCAAATTATCTTTCAGTCATTCAACATAAAGGACGGTGAGAAGATCCAATAAATTCACCAAATCAAATATCGAAGAACGAGATTCACATCATCTAACCCTCTTCCTCAACAAATCCACCAAAGCAAAGATTGAAAAATGAGAACCACGTCAATCTGACTCCTGTCTACAACAAAACTACCAAAGCGTCACCAAATCAAAGATTAAGGAACACGTTGGTCAAGCTCTTAGCTTCATCAAATTTACTAAAGTTAACATCCAATTAAAGATCGAGAAAACACGTCGATTCGGCCATCATCATTATCAAATCCACCGAAAATTAGAAGAAAATACACATGAGAAGCACGTCAAAGAGAGTCAAATACTATATTTTTTTACTTAAAGTCAATCAAATTGACTATTGTAACTTTACCTTATTTTGTGTTAATTCATTTCACAAAATTTGTTGTTACAGTTTAATAATAAAAAATTTAATGAGGTAAAAATAAAAATTTTTGAGAATGAAAATAACACCTCTTAGTAAGATTGGGGGATGGAGGGATTAAAGAGGCCGAAACCCCATGGACCACCCCATCCGGCTGACGGCCCATGGGCGGTTTTGCCCAGTCGACGCTAAAGATATCCAAATATGTGGCTGTCGGAAACCATCTGTCTCTGTATATTCACTTCTTATCTACAAAACTGACAATGATCACCACACGCCTTGTTAACTTTACATACCGCCCTCTTCTCCAATCACTTCCATGGCTTCTTCCACTCTATCCTCCGTCACCCTTTCTCAGGTAAACTCATCATCAAAGCATAAATCTCGTTGTGACATTGTCACAAATACCTTCTGTGCTTATATCATTATCAGGACTATGATCTGATATTGTGGTTCAAATATATCTGTTTTTCTTATCAGCTATGTTCTAGCAAGAATGGAGTGTTCTCTCCTTCACAAGCACTGCTTGTGAAGCCCTCAAGGACCCATGTCGTAGGCAAGAACAAGAGGATGAGGGTGGCGTCCATGGCCACCAGTATTCCGGCCGATCGAGTGCCGGATATGAGTAAGAGGGAGCTCATGAATCTGCTCCTTTTGGGTACTCTTTCGCTTCCCACTGCTGCCATGTTGGTCCCTTATGCCACGTTCTTTGTCCCACCTGGGTAAGTTTGCTCCTCCTCATCAATATGCCGACCCAATTTTCTTTGTTCTTGACGACTTGACCTTGTCTTTATGGAGGTCAAATATAGTAATATGTTTCTATATACGTTAATGTTTGGCTTTTTTTTTTTCAAAGAAAAACATACCAGTAAAAGTTGAAGGAATTGAGGTTTATTGTGTCATATCACATGTAGTTCCACTAAATTCAGTTGGAACTAAACACATGTAGACACAGACACCCACAAATAGATGAGCGTTACAGTGTATTACGCTGAAATTTTTCATGGGATATCATCTTCTCCGAACATAATTTTGGTAACTTGCCAACAAGAGAAAAAGAACCAGTGTTCTGTTTGGCAAAATTATTGGAGATAGTAGTCGATTCTTAGAGTTACATGAACAATAAACAAGGTTGAGAATGTAAATCTTTTGTTGGTTTTTTCTTAGAATCTGCTTAATTTCTGCAAAAATGTTTTAAGGGCTAGCTATTCTCTGCTCTTCGTTTATTGTTTGGCATCCCATGATATTAGAAAGGGATATTGCCAACTCCACTAATAACTTTTAAACCATGAGAGCATACCTAATAATATAATTCAATGTGTCAAAACAACAATATCCAATATCATCTAACTAAGAATCTCAAAAACGATAATTCAACTATGAAAAAGGGTACAATCCAAGTACCTCAACATTATTCAAAAAGAAACTTATATCTAGCTACTTCAGTCATGACAAACCATAACTTATTCTCAACATCAAAATAAATACTAAAATAAATCAAATCCTCCATCCTTAGGCCTCAAAGGCTGGATCCCATCCTGATTCGCTTCAAAAACCAAATCCACATGCTCACGTATGTCGGTATCAACCTCAACACCCCAATCTGAAAAATATTTAAGGGTGAGTACAACTAGCTCAGAGAAATTTTCTATACCTAAACAACGTTTAGAAATATAAGAAAAATATGTAGGTCTCAATTTTCCAAAATAAACGTAGATAACTTTGAAGTGAATTATGTGACATTAATAACGATGTCAAATTTCAATACATGTAAAAAAATTTCATCATAGAATGGATTATTCAGAGAATAAACAACTTTTAACAGAAATATATGATGTACGCAAGTTGATTAGTAAAAATTCACATATCGAATATATCTGATCTGCCCCCGTAAACATGTACCATCCAATCAATTTTCGAAGGGTTACATCATTTTAGGAAGTGCGTATATTAACACATTATTATTTAACGAAATCTTTTCAGGAATAGTTTACTAACCCTTAACCTCAATCTTACATGAACGAATAGTGGTTTGGAATTTCGCAAGGAACCAACACCCCACTACGATAGGAAACCTTCAAACCCCTTAAGGTGAGAAAAACATTTAAAACACTATGCGATATGAGTTCCAGTGCATCCAAGTTTATCAAGCCCACCAATACAAGAGATTTAAATCATATTTTTCAAATACATCACATGTACCACAAATAACAATTTCCACAATTCTTAAAGTAAAGAAAATTTCAATAAAACACGCATGAGATCGTAGGAAACACATTCTATAGCTATAATTATTCAAGATTTAGGGTTAGTGAACTCAAAATGTACACGGAATTAAAATAAATTATTTTTCAATAAAATTTCATCATGTTTTTTCGATAAAAATTGAAAATTAATGTAGATCTATATTACTTATACAAATAAAAATCAAAAGTACATATATGATAGTCCTAGCCTTAATGAATAAGAAAGGGGAAGAAACCCTACATTGCTTTCATAAAAAATTGAGCCTAAAGTGTGTTACGTTGTTTCCCACACGCTAAACCCAACGATCCTTAGTTTGATCTCCTCTTCTTTGTCATCTTTCTTCTCTCTAAGTCTCTCTTAGGCCTCCAACGGTTCAAAATCGTGTAGAATAAACTCTAAAACCTAGTCCCTAGGATATTTATAGTGCCAAAAATAAGTTAAATGATGCTAATTGAGAATCCCAGTTTTGGGAGGCGTATCCAGATGGACTAACTTACTGTCTAAAAATCCAAAGTTGTGTCCGGACCCAAATCTCATCCAGATGGATCTATTCTTTTGTACAAACTTTCTACCCAGTTTTGATCTAATTAGAAGTTGATTCACAAAATTATTATAGAGCTTGAAGTTTTCTTTCCAATGCCACAAGATTCAGCTCAATCGGATATAAGGATAAAAAGTTATGGCTAAAATACTAAAATAATATTACATCATTTCCTTCCTAAATTCTCTTCAAAATGTGTTTTAAGTCCCGGAACACCTCCAAACTTCTTTTCTTTAATTTTTAACCTCTAAGAAAATTTGAGGTGATCTTTGAGTTGCCATACGAATCGAATGACTATACTAAGGTTTCACGTCCTCTCAAATTTAATGATAACATTATTTTGATCTACAAACTTTTAAAAATTTACCTACCTACCCTTTTCAAGCCTAAACGCTTATGAAACTAAATTTGACCCGAAAGTTGATGCATGCGAAACTCAAACTTCATAGATATTCTTTCAACAACAATTCATAGTTTCTATCATCATTTTAGTTATTTTAAAAGAACTTGTGTTCCCAAAAATTTGACTGTTTTCATAAATTATGTTTCGTAAACTCAATCCCCAAAATTGAAGCAGATAGACTCAGGGTTTTGTGGAGGTATGTTATTGTATCTCAACCACCACGCGTTCAAAGCATTAGCTTACAAACTTTGCTGCTGTATAGGGACTATTTCAGTCGTGAGCTTTTGCAACCATGAGGTTTAGGACTAGTAATATCCTGATGTGATGTTCAGGCTAAAATTATCGTCGGAATAACAGGAAGAATGACTATTGTAAAGGCATGTTGAGGCATGATTGAACAAAATGTATATTTCTAGACCTTTGTAAACCTGGATATCGTAGTATGGTTTGCATCACTAACTTCAAGTAATTGGGACAAAATGTTTCTTTGCTATCAAAATATGATTTTGCAGAACAATTGAATAAGAGGACATGCACAGGTAGTGGTTTCCAGGAGAAATTGACATGGTTTTTCTTAAAACATTTTCCTGTGAGAATTTTGTTCAACAAGTAAGTATATATAGCGTGTTTTGCAGACGACATCATAATAAAAAAAAGTTTGAGTATACCTTAACTTGAAAAATGAAGTCAGATACAGTGTCTCAAATCTTTTGATGCAATCCTAGGCAGAAGGATTAATTTCAAAACTTGGTATTCTCATAATCTTTTTATTATTCTCATGAATTAATTATTGGCCTTTAAATTAAGGAAATAAACTCTCGTTAAATTTAAATTGACCCTTTTGTAAGAAGATCACTTCACATTTAGAGATCTTTTCAATCGCGATATAGGCATTATACTTCTTTCATCATTATTTGTGTATTCAGATGCAACTGGTGTTCCTTCTGGATTCTTCATTTCATCAAATTTTTCCATTAATTGGAAATTAAATACAGGTCGGGAGGTGCTGGTGGTGGTGTTATTGCCAAGGATGCCCTAGGAAATGATATCCTTGTAGCCGAATGGCTCAAGACCCATGGACCTGGGGACCGTACCCTTACACAAGGATTGAAGGTAATGTAAATTTTTTATTGTTTCTTAGTATTGATTAAGACTTGCTGAAAGAAATGGTTTGCAAATTTTGTACATATTTCTACCAGTTGACCATGGTAAGTGACAAGAAACTAAATCCTAATTACCAACTATGTATTTGGTCGGTCTACGAATACATACTTTAAGAAAAGGTAAAGCCAACCCCAATTAATTTGAATAATTTTTTTTCAATGGGAATTTTTGGTGCTTTAATGCAACAATAAGTGATTTTCATCGGTCATTGCTGCTATATTTACTTCTGATTTTCAAGGCTCTCCCTATTTTTGTTAAGTGTGTTGAAAGGGGAAGAGTCTGAAGGT